GAAGTTGATGCACATGGGAACTGCTCAGGTACAGCTAACTTCTTTGGCCAACGTCTTTAGCCAGTGTCTGGTTCTTACTGAATTGAGGATTTAGTCTAGAATCTATAGGTACTTGTTACTCTCTGAACAATCGTATACGTTAGAAGCATCAGTTATAGTTCTAAATAGACAAATCTTATACAAGTTGAAAACATCAGTTACAGTACTGAAATTACAGAATTTAGACAAAGCAGTGAAATTACAAGAGTTCTGACAAGGTAAAAGTAATTTTTATGTTTGCCAATGGTGTTTCTGTGTTTGTAGCCAGGGCTGTGGTTTAACTTACTGTTAGGGAACTTAGACGTGGAAATGCTCGAATACCAATCCTAAAAGTCAATTAAAATTAGCAAGATGTGTTTTCAAGCCAGATTCTTAGTATTTTTCGATATTTTTCATTTATATTAGTCCACATGCCTATAACTTGATTTAGATTGAAGTTTTTCTTCCATTTTCCAAAAGGTGACTCTGTTGGCAGGTTTCCAGAATATAGGACTTAAAAGCCAAGTTAACCCAGAACAGTGAAGGCAACTTGTGATTTTCTAAGTCAGTAAATCCCACTAGAGCAGACTCTTGTGTGCGCACCATCTCCCTTCTGAGGTGGGATTTTTGTGGGGACGGTAGATAGTGAACACCTTTCTCAGCAGCACTTGATAAGGGGCCAGAGAGCGTTATACAGGATTTTTACATTGAGAAGTCTCCTGATGGTGAGGTGACATTCTCTTCATTTCTTTCTGAGATGAGACTGGTAGCTATGGCGATTCTCTCTTAACTTTGTCTCTAGTCATTGTGGCATCCTGCCTGACACTATAGATTCTGAAATCTTAGTCTCCCACTAAGGTATTTTCCTGAATCATTCGTAAATGTCTGTGACTTAGCCTGATCACTATTCTTTACAGTAACAGCTTTCTGTGACTCAGCCTGTAAAAGTGACAAAAACAAAACAAAAAAAATCCACATTAGTATCACATCTTCCAAATTCAGGAAGAAAAATCTCATGCTCAGCTCACAATTATAGCAAAGCATTTGTGAATTTATTTGCTCAACAAGTTTTTATCACATGTCAGAACATACACTATTAGTATGGGCATCTCCTGCAGCAGAGGAAGTACCCTGCTGTGTAGAACTCTACATGAATTGCCATGTGTGGGGTTGTACTTGTGTGACAAAAATTGTGGCATGCCTTTTCCTTCCTAGGGTGTAACCAAAGGCCAAATTAAAGGGAAGCCCTATGTGGAGGAGGACAAAGGGTCATTTCATTGGATTGCTATTTCAAAGCCCTTCACATTTGAAACAAGCTAACAAGTTCAGTTTATTGCTCTCCACTCCCCATTATCTGTGTCTTGTAGGCTGGCCAAGTAGAATACTATTGTGGCCTTCAGGTGTCCTCAAATCTCTGACAGTGAAGTCCTTGAGGACAGATGACACACCTTGCTTTCCTCTATGATGTCACTTGCTATAGTTTCACTCAGTCATAATTTTTTAATAATGAACATTTAATTAACTGTTCTCTGTGTTTATGTTGCATTTGTACTCAGAGTCTTAATTCTTCAGATGTCCCACCAAGTTCAAATGGACAGTGTTTCCTAGGAACCTTCCGTGAACTTCGCAGTGTTTTCAGAATCAGTTAAGCATGTGAAATAAGGTTGTCTGTTCACTAAGAGTTTCTGTATGTTATAACCCTCAGATACAGACTTAGCCCAGACCAACCCCACTTCTACTGAGATGGAACGGGGGTGGTTTTTATCAGCCTGTGCTCTGAAAAATGTCTGTACCATGTATATTTTTTAGTTCTCATCTGTGAAGGCAGATTATGATATCTATAGCATGGACAGCAAGCAAGATACAGCATATATAAAGAACTCTGTAAGCAAAGACTATGGAGTCTGACCCACAGGAGAGTGTTTCTCATCCAGCTCCAAACTTAGCGCACTGATGAAACGCTAACAGAGTTCAGTGTAGTTTACTTATTAATCTACCAACAAAACTGGCCCCTTGTTCTTGTAGGCCGGCCTTCTGCCACTGAACTAAATAAACATCAGTCCAACCTCTGACTTATTACATGTTCAAGTACATGTTGGACATCCTTGATAACATTTCTGACACCTTTAACCTTTAAATTTTGACTAGTAAAACTTGCGAAAAATGAAATAGATCATAATCCTGTGCATTTGCATTTGATTTAGTTCTTGGCAGAATCGTATCATTCTCTAGGCATTCATGTAGAGACTCTGATGTGCTGTAACTCACCCTGAAGAGGTTCCCCAAGATGTAATTTGTGCAGGCTGTTGCTTTAGGCATCCTTTCAGCCAACAGAATTTAAAATATTTTAGGAAAACCATAAGTTACTTAAAAATAACAGTCTAGATTTACATTTAAATTCATTCAGATTCTGTTTTTTTTCTGAATTGAATCATGTTATGAAAACAGCAGTATATCTGCCTGTTACTGTGGACTCTTTGAACTTTGAAGAATGTTTTAAATATATAAAAATATTTGAGTAATAAAATTCCTTTGGAATTTGAAGGAACTTAGCAGAGTCCTTAGATTTTGTTTAAAATTTGAGTGATGTGATAAGTAAAATTAGAAGCTCTTATGCTTTGAGAGAGATTTATCCAGGTTTGTTTTTTGTAAACAAAAATCTCTTCACAGTGCATCAATGGCTCGTAATGTTAAAAATATAGGGCATCCTTGTAGAGAGTTTCCTTGTATGCTATGACAATTTTATGTTTTAAGCATATGTTTTTGTGTTTGCTTTTTCAAGATAGGGTTTCTCTGTGTAGCCTTGACTGTCCTGGAACTATCTCTGTTGACTAGGCTGGCCTCGAACTCAGAGATCCACCTGCCTCTGCCTCCAGAGTACTGGGATTAAAGGTGTGCTCCACCACGTCCAGCTTGATAATTTTATATTTTAAAAATTAGAGCAACAAAACAAACCAAGGCTAACACTAAAAAAGATGAGTTTTGTAGTTTTGATTTTTAAGTTGCTGGATATTCCTTAACTACACAAAAGTGTGTTAATCTCGGTTTTCTGGGCTTGATGTTTTTCTGTAACAAAATGTTTCCCCTATCCACTTCTCCCTGAAGACCTAGTTAAGGTTAGAGTCAGCCAGCAGCCCCATAGCTCTTAGGAGATGTGAAGACTGTCTTTCATATCTTCATATTCCTGATAAAAACTGCTCCAGCAGCTTTGGTGTGTCATGGCCACACCAGATGCTGGGGCCATGATAAAGGACAAAGCTTAATTCCACCCAGAGCTCATAGGCTAGAGCAATATTCTAGCATTGCTTCACTGTGCATTGTCTCTACATATTTCCTGTTCGGTAAAGTCAACTGCTTTATCTCCATTTGCTGACAACAGCAAGAGGTCTTAAAGTAGGTAACTTTCTGATTCAGTATTTCCCCAGCTTATTGGATGTTGGAAACTTTTGGGACATACATAAATGCCTCTGGCGATAAGAACGCTACTGGTACTTAGTTTTGAAGCCTATCTAGAGAGACTTTTAACATATGGAGTTCTGTAGAGGCAACAGAAATGAGAGTCCAAGATGTCATGTGAGCATTGCATTTTGAAGAGGTCATGAACAGTGAGAGTAAAAAGGACAGGAAGGTCGTGTTAGGCTAGGCTGGAAGGATATTGTTGAGAGGTATAACTGGGTGGGTGAAGAGGAGCATGGTGTGTACCAAGAACTATGCAAGAGCTCAGTATCATGCTATAAAACTAAGAAATCATGTTAGGAAAACTCAGCCTATTTAAATTTGTAAATGACTTTGAACTACATGACTGACCTATAAAACAAGTGGTAACCTCAAAGTTATGTGATGACTTTATATTAACAAAGCATTGAATTTATTTTAAAAATAAAAAAATATGAAACTATTACAGTTGAATCATCTCCCATGTATGGAGATTAAACAGCTGGGTGAACAGTTTAATGTATGTTAGGAATAATTAAGTGAATTTTTTTTACTTTGAAATTCATCATAGGATAATCTATCTGTGAAGAAAAACAATCAAATACTTTTAAATATATAGTCTTGGAATTTTCCTTCCTGGAATCTATGCTTACTAGAGAATACAGGAAAATAAAACATGTACTGACACCAAATGCAAGTAGATGTATATTCTGGCGAGGTAACTCAGTTGAAATTATGAGATCTTGAGTTCTCCCGCTAAAGCCTGTGAAACAAAAAACTAGAAGTGGTAGTGTATCCTTTTGATCTTATCTCTGGAGAGGCTGATGTAGGCAGGTGTTCAGGACTGACTGTCTGCCAGCCTAGCTTATCTGGCAAGCTGCAGGCGAGAAAAACGGGGTGGATGACATTTGAAGGCTGACAGCTGAGGTTATCCTCTGGCCTCCACATTAATGGGCACACATAGGTGTGCACACATGGGGAGGCACACACAAAGAAGCAGCTGTGCATGCTGGAATGGTTTCTAAGCATTATGTACATATGTAATGTTAAGTATAATCTTGATTTAGTTTTTTACTTGGTAAATGTGAAGCATGGCGTTTGAGGATTGATACTCCTTTCTGTTAGATGAGCCATTGTTTGTGTAACTATAGAAAGTCTTCATCTTCAACAATATTAACTTTTTACTGAGTTTCAATTTTCTTACTGTAAATTATACATTGTATATATAGCTTCAGAACTGGAATTACTGAATCAAAAAAGTAGGAATATGTTTACCATTTGACACATGTCAGCAGATTAGCTTCTGAAACAGTACAGCACTTTATATTTTGCATTTGGAGTGTATCAGAGGGTTTTTTCTCAGTTTTTCAGAGCAATCATTTAAAAATTACAATGGTGATGCATACTTTGTGTGTTAAGTAGTTTAGGAGTACACTGACTGTTTTTTCTCATATTTTTAAGTTTTATCCACTAAAATCTTTCTGTTTAAAACTTTATACTTGATGATATAAGGATTACTCTTGATATGAAACTTTTTTATTTTTGAGGTATCCATCACGAATTGAAAAAATTGATTATGAAGAAGGGAAGATGTTAGTCCATTTTGAGCGTTGGAGTCATCGTTATGATGAGTGGATTTACTGGGATAGCAACAGGTTGCGACCCCTTGAAAGACCTGCGCTTAGAAAAGAAGGACTAAAGGATGAGGAAGAATTCTTTGTAAGTAGGAGGGTTTTCCCATGTGAGGCTTTTCTAGATACATTATGACATTTTAAAAGGATCAGGTCGAATTAGTTGCTTGTTTTTGTTAATTAAATGGTTATTATATATGACATTGATCTTGAAAGTTGTTTGACCAGGATTTGAAAGCTGGAGAAGAAGTTCTAGCACGTTGGACAGACTGTCGCTATTACCCTGCCAAGATTGAAGCAATTAACAAAGAAGGTATGCATTTGACATGACCTGAGACTTAAGTAGGGTGGGGAGAAAATTGCTTTATTTTAAATTTCAGTTGAGGTATATAATTGTTGCATAGAGCCTTCTTATTTTATGTTGTCCTGTATGGATTTCCTGCTGGTAGTATCTATGGGAACATTTGTTACATACTGCATGGCTCGTGACTTCACAACCTAAGTCAAAAAACCTGGTAAGACTCCCACAGGCCTGCAAAATCTTTCAGACAGATAATAAACTTGACTACTTGATGCTTTTTTCAAAGAAACAAAACTACACACTGAGTGATAGCTTCTTTGCCAGGACATTGGATCTACCAGGGATACTTCCTTTACGTTGAAAGACACATTAGCTAGCTAAGAAGAGCTGGAAGGGCTTTCTCTGGAATGGAACACTGGGTATAGGTGGACAGAAGCAAAGGCCAGCATGTGAGGGACTTGAGAATCTTGCTAAAGATTGGGGTTTTATTTGGAAGTGATAAAAGTCATGGAAAGTTTAAACTTGGGATTAAAGCTAAAACCAAGCTTGAAAGAAATAGAGGTAAAACAGAAGCAGCAAGCACTTAAGAGGATATGTAAGGAATCTCGTATGAAAACTGAATCACAGTAGTCCAGCTGATAGTCGTGGTATCATTTTGCAGAGATCTCAGTCCCTCTCATGGTTGCAGTGGTGGTGCTGCATGGAGACTGGATTCATTGTTAGTGGTTACCTGCTGCAGGAAGAGGTGGGGACAGCGCTGTCACTGGTGCCCTTTCCCGCTGGTGCTTACGCTTGTATGGGGCTGGGCTCCACAGTGTCTTTTTTTTTTTAAAAGTCTGTGCCTGGGCTGTAAATGGAGCTCTTGATGTAGATAAAAACCCGGAGTCAGATATAGAGGAAATGCTGAGAGATGAGACAAGAAGGAGCAAACCACAGCACACCTTACTTCCTTCACTTCTCAGCAGACATGGAGTGAGTTCCTGTTTCTTCCTGCTTATATCCTGTTTCCACCCAGCTGTCTCACTTCCTGTCTGTCTGTGTGGACCTCCAGACCTCTAGACCTCTATGGTTAGCTAGTGGCAAGCTCCATTCTCTGACCTTCAGGCAGGCTTTATTTGTACAAGCAAGATACCACCACACTTGGCACTAGCGGAGAGTAGGTGTCAGTAGCAGTGTGGGCAGAAAGAACTCCGGAGTCTGTTTTCATGGGAGGTCAGACCCATCCCAAAGCAGACAAAGTAAAGCACACAGTGCTCTGCAGCTGCATCAGTTGTGTTGACTGTGGAGCACTTTAGGACCTGCCCTAATTCCCAAGCATGTGTTGGTGCAGCAGTGTATGTAGACACATGCACACTGCACTCAATCAAACTGCTGTCATTGTTTATCCTCTCCTACTTATCCACAGATTTCAAAACAGAAAATTAAGTTTGCACTAACAGAAACGCGATGTTAATGGTACTGTGGCTACTGGCATTTCTGCAGTACTTCTAGCAAGTCGTTACTGAAACATCCATAGTTATCTTTGTAATTCTCTACAGAAGGATTAACTTTGATTTCTAAATGCCCCGCATGGTGGGTGAGCTTACCTCTTTCTTCCAAAGAAAAAGAAATGGGAGGGGCAGAAAACCCCAGTTCATTGTAAAAGCAAAATGGAGCTGCCTAATGTGGACATTTAGATATTTGTGATGAAGCTCACACAAGTGAGGAGAGCACTGCTATGAATATAAGCATAAGTATTGAGAAGTCAGTTTAAAAACATGACCTTTTAGTAAAACAACATCAGTAGGTTCCCCCTTGAGCCTCTGACATTTCTAGCTGTGCATCTTGACCATGTTTCCAGTGCTGAACATGTGGAAGGGCCTCAAGTCCAATCAAGAGAGCAGTTGGTCATCTTCCTCCCCCCACACCATGTGGTCAATGGTGGTCTCCTCACCATCGCACTAATGAACACATCCTGTCTGGTAGCTTAGTATTGCACCATTCAGGGTAAGACCGATGGTTACTTTCTCCCCCAGAAGCCTGCACCCATACACAGGGGCTGCAATAGTTAGATTCGGAGGGCTATTACACAAAGAAAAGAAGAGGACGTGAGGTTGGAAGAAAGGTAAGTTATGGGGGTGGAGTTTGAGCGAGAAAGTAATTGGGAAATGGTTGTGATTAGGATACATGGTATCCATGTATAGCATTTTCAAAGAATAAAAAGTAAAGGAAGGAGGGTAGGAAATGTGGACTAGGGTGATCAGAGATGTTTCCACTTACAGATGGTCATTGAAAAGTGGTTAAGAGTTAGGTACAGTTAGGAGACACAGGGAAGCATCCAGTTGGAGGAAATAGCATGAGCAAGGGCTGGAGGGACAGGCCTAGCTAGTATCTATACACACAACAATGGGCTACCAGGAGTGCCACATGGTAGAAAGAATTGAAAAAACAGTTGCAGGAATGATAGTACAAGGTATGTATCCAATTTGGCATTCTTAAAATTTTACCACTGTCTTTACGTCCCTACTGCTCACTTGATCTTTAAGTTCTAACTTATGTTTAGAACTTTGCAATATTTATAAAATTATATTAATTATATAAAAATATAATATCAAATTGTGGTTTTCAAGTTACAATAACAACAAAAAGAGAGAATCTTTTTACATATATGCCATTGACTTTGGAGTCAACTTTATACCTGTGATAATAATGATCACATTTCTTGTTTGTACTTCTTTTGTAAAGACCAGGTATCTACTTAAAGTGGTGTTCCACTCTTCCATAAGTGTAAAATCTACACTACTTTTTCAAGTAACCCTGTTTGATACTGACTTGCTGCCATGGAAAGTAAATTGCTTCAAGACCCACAAGCAGGTAGATGCAGGAAGGGATCATGGCTGCATAGCATGGTAGAAATGGCTATTCTGCACTGAGATGAGTGTCACACAGTTGCCATCCTCAACTTCTTAAGCTTGTTATGCTGGTCTGCAGACAACTTTCATCATGATACTTTCTAAATTATTTTCTAGCCTCAATTTCACATATGAGAATATTCCTTTTTGCCATTTTAACACTATTGTAAATTTCCTGAGAAAATGATCCTTATTACATATCAGATCTTTCTCTCTGTTACCTACCTAAAAGTAACTTTTGAAGAGAGCCAGTGATCATTCCTGTAGAGATACTGGTCTTGTAAATAATGGTTTTGTCAAAATTCTTCAGTAAAGGTCAAAGTTACATGCAGCTAAGTTATCAGGACCTAATTTGTGCATATTTTAAGGGTAATGCTAGTTCATAATTGTTTCAAGTGTAGAGAGAAAATATATTTTGTAACTCCAGCACACTGCGACTGTGTTAGTGCAACCGCAGAGCATCCTTTTACATCGTACCGCGATTAGATTCCCAGTGGTGTTATAAGCTTCATGATCCTTTGTAATTCTTCTGATGGCTCTATTTCAGGGACATTCACAGTTCAGTTTTATGATGGAGTGATCCGCTGTTTAAAGAGAATGCACATTAAAGCCATGCCTGAGGATGCTAAAGGGCAGGTAAGAGTGCTCCGTGTCCCTGCCACTCAAGGGATGTCCTCCTGGACGGTGTTTGAGAACATACATACCTCTCTGTTCCATTAAATGAACTAATTGTAGGCTTATGTGCTGAGAGCCCCAAATAGCAGCAAGAAAGAGAAGCTTAGACTGTAAAATAAAGTATACACTTGATTCTGCTTCTTTGGTTTTAGACCTGCTAAAGTTATAGGTCACTAGTTTCTGTTCCAGGTGAAATCCCAGCATCCACTAAGCTGGTGTTGTCCTATCGACCCAGCTGGATCGTGTAACCAGTCTATGGGAAGTGAGGTAAGTGCCTTTTTGCTTTTAAATTTTGTTTTGTTTTACCTGATATAGAGTCTTACTTAGAAAGCTAATTTTTAATATGAAATTTTACATGAGTTTCTTATTTTCTTCTTTCCTTCTACAAATCATAGTTATTCACCTTCCTTAAAAGGCGCTTACCTGACACTCTGTAGGCTGTTTGATGTAGGGCTCTCTAAGCAGCATAATGTAAACAGTGCAATCTGTGCTTTGCCACTGCTTAGAGCAGGAAGGGGTGGTGAGCACTTGGAGGAGAGTCTGGGATGGAGCCAGAAACCATGTTCCATTTGCTGAGTGTGCCTCCTCAGTCACTGGAGAGAAAGGTGCCATTAGAGACAAAAAATGATTCTCTTTTATATTCTGCTGTTATTTGGGATTTTCAGCACCTGGACCTACAATTAATTTAAGAACTTGAAAGTAATCTGTGAAAATGTCTAATGTGAAAATATGTTTCCTATTTGTTCCATACCATATAGTAAAAATGTTATCCTGAAGTGTGTTAAAAATCACATGCCTAGTTTCAGTTGGGCATGAACATTTTATGGTCTGCAAATGTCTAATTCCACAGTTAGAATAAATAGTTTTCAGTATTCCGGAAAGTGTGATGGCTTATGAAATGATTAGGTTACATACATGTAAATGCAATTTATAGTCAAAGGGCTCTCAACCAATACTTCTCTGTGTGTCCTGTGTGTCTGCACTAACGAAGTCTTCCAAACATCCAATGGCGAATAGGGAGACTGATTAAAATATTTTTTTTTGGTTTTTCGAGACAGGGTTTCTCTGTATTGTTTTGGAGACTATCGGTCCAGCCCAGCCTCGAACTCACAGAGATCCACCTGCCTCTGCCTCCCGAGTGCTGGGATTAAAGGCGTGCGCCACCACCGCCCGGCGACTGATTAAAATATTGGGAGCATATTTGGCTCCACAACTTTAAGTCAGCTCCTTCTTTTGCTTTACTACGGGGATTCTCTAACTCTAGATATTCAGTGTCGTGAAATGACACTCTCATTTTGTCTTCGTTGAGACAATTTGGTTTGCAGTTGTATTACGGGCTATAGATACTAGACTTATTGGATGTTGCACTTGGAAATACTTTGTCATACCATGATGTGCATTAACAGTAAGATCAATGCCAAAATACAAAACTACTTAAAGAGTACTTGGTTGGCATTCTATTTCCTTTTAATTTTTGATTTCCCTTATAATTCTTAGTTATATGCAGACTAAAAATATTTACTAAGTATTTTTATAAGTTATTTTACGAGTTTTACCCCAACTAGGTGTTTACCTCATCTAGGAAGTATAACAAATCAGGTGACTAGGCAAAGATAAGATTCTTTTCTAGAGCTTGAGTATTTGAGAACCCGTTTATGAATATATAAAGTAAAGCATCTTTTACTAACTTAACAAAGAATTAGTCTGCATACTGAATAAATGTACAGTAAAAAACTTCTCCCCTAAGCCCTCTTTAGGAATTGTGTAAGATGAGACTTTAGTAGTAGTTGTATATATCAACTTCTGGGATTGTTTTCTTATCTTAAATCAAAGTCCTAATGTGATTGTTGCTGACTTTGGGACAGCTGGTTGGTTGTGTTCCACTCTGGTTAGATTCTGAAGATAGCTTGACCTTTCAGAGAGCTTTTAGAAACACTCTTGTTCAAGTGTAAGCCGCAGGCCCTTCTGTGCTGTTTGTAGGCATTGTTCTCTGCTGGGGAATACAGGATGGTAGACATATTGCCTGTTCAAACTAAGATGCCTTGTCCCTATCTATCCCTGTCCTCTTTTATAAAACTGATCCATAGTTGTGAAGTAGTTATGGCATTTCTCATGATAGAGTTCAGTTCTTACACTGAGTACAATCCTATGTTACTACTTGCTGGTCTCCCTGATATTCCACCATTACTAAGCATAGTGGCAGTAACAGCAGGGAGAGAGAATGAGGGATTCATTTTAAATTTAAAATCTGTAACCACAACCTCACATCTCCTTCACTCTTCCTGCAAGTGTGCTGATGTAAAGTTTATATAGAAATGCACTGAAGATTGGCTTATAAGTGGTTTTAAAATCCCTTACAATTCCCCTTCCTGATAATTTCCATCTGTTTTATTGGTGTTAGCAGATCTTTTCATGTACACATGCTTGATATTTTTAGTCTTACAATGAGAAATTCAGAACTTAGGAATTGAATGATGGATGTATAGTTTCATTACTTGCAGAGTGACTCCTAGCTCAAACCTTGTGATTTCAAAACTGCATTCCTTGTTAATTTGCTGCTCTCTTGTCCTGGCTACAGAGCATTTTGAGTCTGTTATTGGTTCTGGTCCATGGAAAAATATCCTCAGTTGTTTTTGACAGTGAAGCTTCCCTACGTAAAAGTTCAGAGGAAGAACGCTGGAGATATTTAACCACATGGCCTTAATGTTTGCCACGATTGACCAATTTATGATTAAAAAAGCAGTTTTAAGTATTTAAGGTTTGAAAGCCACAATGATCCTTCTGCTGCATCTGTTTTGAAGGTAGAAAACAACTTGAGATGGAAGTGACCCCAACCTTGTCTGGCATTTCTCTGACAACTGCAGAAAACAAGCAGCTGCAGTGGGGCACCTGAGTCACATCACCTGCTTTGAATAAGTTTGCAAACATAGGCCCCTGCGTGGAGTACTGCAGGTGTGCGCCTGCTGACTCCTCCTCTTGTGTTGACCACGCCTACCTTTCCTGTTTTGGTTGGACTTAATTCTCCTCACTCCTTCACTGTGAGCCTGGAAGCTCCCCTTCAGCTCCAGTAGTCCCCAGCTACTTCCTCTTCACCTGACCTTTCCACACACATCCCCATCCCACACTGCCTTCTTTCGTCCTGTTTGGAAGACTTGTTCCCCCTTTAGCTGTCCATTTACCCAGCCAATTCTCCTTGTCTCTAGAGACCAGCTCCTGCACCTTATCTCTGAAGTCCTCCGTTAATTTTCCTTTTCAGTCAGAATACGTTTCTGCAGTTGTCTCCAGATACTTTATTTCTCTGTGACCTGTCCTATCATTTTCTTTTTGAAGATGGTCTCATGTAGTCTGGGCCATCCTTGAATTTCCTACATAACTGAGGGTAGTTTTCAACTTCTGATCTTCCTTACCGATTCCTTCCCTATCACACTGTCTTATGGTTAGTTTATTGCCTTGACTAGACCTTTCTCTTTTATCAGCTTTGTGTTTTAGTGTTAGACTGATTCCTGACTTGTCTTATGGGACATTCAATAGAAAATGGGCAAAAGGAAACAAACTTGTTAGGTGGATCACATGATATTTGCAGATCATTTCAGTTATGGAGGGGAGGGATAGCTGAAGACTCATTTGCTGTTTGTCCAGGGTGACCTGTTTATCTCCACCATGTATTTTCAAGGGTGAATGGTTAGCTCTATATTTTTAATTTGTTAACAATAGCAACCTGCTAATTAAATTCATTTTTGTTGTAAATTATTTCAGTTGCTTATAATAAGAACTATGCATGCTGGATGAGCTTTATTGTCCATTTAGATAGTGCTTAGGGGCACGAGTGGAAGACTAACTCTGTAGAGACATTACAAATGCTATTTAAGAAATTCAGTATAGCACCACTCTATGCTTCTCTACACTGTTTTATACTTTCACAATAAAGAAGTCTGAGCTAAAAATTAAATACTATGATTCATTTAGGGACAGGAAGATTGCTCAGCAAGTAAAGGTACTTGCTTCCAAGTCTGATGGCTTGAGTTTGAGCTGAGCTTGGTCCCAGGAACCCACATGGTAGAAGGACTTCCTCGAATTTTTACCACATTCCTGCCATGGCATGTGTGTCCCTCACCCTACACCCACACAAAGCAAATACACTAAAAAACAAGTTAATTTAACAACTAACACATTTTCTTTAGTAGTAGTATGAAGATGTGATAAATTGTTCCTGAAGTTTAAATGTTTAAAAAATAAATTCGTGTTTAATCTAAGAAGTTAACAATGAGTCAAATGGTATGTGCTTTTTAGAAAGGAACAGTAGCTTAGTCAGTCATAATGTATTTCTCTCAATATTCATAAGAGTTTAATGTAATTTTCTTTTTACATGATCCACTGTATTAATGGGAAAGAAATGCCACTTTTAACTCAGAAACACTGAAATAGCATGTCATATAGCATTCAAATTTTCTATAGGCTTTGTAAGTTGTTTTTATGTAATTATATAGAAACATATCCTAGAACTATATGCTACTATATTTTCTCATTTTATCTTTGGATTTTCAGCTCAAGTCAACGATTTGTTTATTAAACTAAAAGCTCATTCATACTGATAATCTGCCACATAAATAGAGTTAGCCTAATTTTTCCATGTGTGTATGTGTGAGTAACTATCAAGATGTAACACATAGCTTTATTTAGTAGTGAAGCTAAAGCTGTATTTTTAAGACTTCACGTTTTCTGTTTTTCCTTTGGAGGACTGGATTGCTTTAGTTAAAGCAGCTGCTGCAGCTGCAGCGAAGAGTAAAACAGTGACTAAACCTCGAACCAGTGCTAACAGCAATAAAGAGAAAGAGAGAGACGTGGGAAGATGGTTTAAAGTACCTTCAAAGAAGGTAGAAACTCCAGCTTGCATAGCCACAGTAGAGACTGAGAAGGAGGAGGAGCTGCCCACATCCAGTGAACCGTTTGGTACAAAATACAGTCCTGTTTATTTTCCTTTCTTGTGACACAGGTAAACTGAGGTAGCAAATAAACCCAAATCACTTGGTTACCTATAATGTTGAACTTAGAATTAAATTATCTGCTCCTAGCTTAATTAGACGACTGACTTTATTATCTCAGTGTAACTCTGAAGATACTGTCAAATATTGATTAGATGCTTTCAATATTCTTGAGTATAAATCAATTTGATATTTGTTAATAGGTTTTTGTTTGTAATTTCTGGTTTAAGTTTTTAAGGTATAGATAGTGCTGTTTCAGTGTGCTGCTTAGAAGAAATTATTCTCGTTGAACTTTCCCTCAAGAATAACTATTTAGGAAGCTTTTATTTCTGTTGTATGAATCCAGAGGGATTTATATTTGTTTAAATCATAATACAGCACTAGATTTAAAAAAGTAATAAACAAAGTGCTTTTGCTAACTTGCTATCTATCAATTGTTATGTCTTATTTTGGATTCCAAACCAATTCTCATATATGTGTTCTGTTAAAAGTAGGACTTCACATAGACAGCGTTCCAAAGATCGTCTTTCCACAGCCAGAGAGCACAGTAACAAACAAGAGGAAAAATAACCAAGGCAACTCATTTCAGGCAAAGAGAGCCCGACTTAACAAGATTACTGGTAAACTACAATGATTCTTTTGGTGGTTGGGGAGGCTAAGGGCTTCATGTCAGAGTAGTTTCTTTTTAATAAAGGAAGATGGATCAGTGGAATGAGCTGAATACTTTTCTGGTTCTTCAAAGTAAACACCTCTCAACACTGTAAGCTTTGTGTGTTATAAAATGTGAAAATGTACATATTTCTTACCTACCTCACAGGGGTGTTGTGAGGATCAGGATCAAGGGTTACAGAATCTGTAGTCTTGAAGTCACTTCCATGGAGGGAATAGGTCCTGTCAGAATGGGCTATCTGCACTTACCCACCTGTGGTGGCTTCATTTCTGTGGTTTTAAATATTTTTACATGTAAACAGTCTTACAGATGACAAGGCTTAAAAGTGGAACCATTTGTGGTATAAGTATGGATATCTGACTAAATTAAGTTCATGACTCATTTATTTCCTGCTTTTTTTCGTGAGTTTGTCTCTGGAGTGCCTACTTGTAAGGTAGCATGTAGCAGTGTAGGCATGGTGAAAAACAGACAACCCTAGCCAGGCCAGTGCTCACAGAAGAGGGAATTGAATTGAAATATTCTATCCACGGACAGTCATGCTACATCTGACACTTCTAGACCGACAGCCTAATATGTTTCTACTATTTAAATGAAAAGTGGTTATAATTCATTTCAAAATATACTTTAAAGGGATGCTTATATATTTTAATGATTCAGACATCTGATTTTTAAGTACAAAATATTTTCGTGGGCCTTTGGTCTAATAAAACTGAATAAACCTTTCTGGCATTCATTTAGCACTTTGGAGATGATTACCTTCTTTTTTAGGTCCAGGAGTAAGTATTCAGTATGATTGTGTCTGTTTCCAGAAGAGACTGCCCAGTGAAAGGTGGGTGGAGCAGAGGGCTCTTGTGAGCTGCTCTGGGGCAGCTCTTTGGGGTCTATAGTACTTCATGGATTTCTGTGCTGTGGGCTGCTCTTGCCCTCAGGATAGGAACTATCTCATATCACTTCACCCAGCAAGCGGAACGTTTTCTTTAGACGCTGTTAGCCTTGAAGAAAGCCAGTCTTCCCTTCTCTAATTGATTGCTCTGCTGTCAAGCTGAGACCAGTTGTGCTTTAGACACACAACTCAGTGCTCCTTGCAGGGCAGAGTGGAAAGCCGCTTCTCTCTCCTGTGAGAAAAAGATTGGACCCTGCAAGACCAAGGAAGACTTCTGGAAATGCCACTGACAGGACACAGCTAATTGCCAGCTTCCCAGCACCATGGGCTTTCCTCCTTAGCCACGGAGCCTGCTTTTAGTGTCAGCCAGTACGCTTTCACGTATGCCTGCCTCTGAATGCCCTAATGGGAGGGGCCAGCTCAACATTGAAAGGAGTAACAAAATGAGAATAAGAAGCCAGCTGAGTTCACAGTGAATGAACAGTCAGGATAACAGAGCCATTTACCTTGTGCCCCCGGCTGCAACCCTGGTTGCTCAGCTACACCTTGGGCCTTCTCTAAAGGGACTTTTTCTTCAGTTTTCCTTAGAAATTTCAAATGTGACAGTTAGCAACAAGAATAACGCACAAAGCCTTACCCATGTGCATGTTAGGGTCTTTTCCCGTTACTTACTCAGAAGGTTTACATGTATCACAACCCTTTAAGCGTTCATCTCTGCTTCTACTTTTGATTTCATGTCACAAATATGCCATGCAAAAAGACGGTAGATGTTAAGGTTGTCTTCAGGAGGCTAACCTCAGGTTTGCGTGTGTACACTAAATTTCATTTGTGATCCATGGAAAGAAATGAGAACTAGTGTAGAATAGCAGATTCATGTTGGACTTTTGCTGTATTTATTTTAAACTTAGCAAGTTCTGTGTGTGCCTTTTTTCCTTTACTAGAGATAAATGGGCAAGAATCAAGGCACTTTGTTCTGGTTTATTTTTCCTCTCATTCCACTCTATTCTTTTTTAAATAGTTCTAGCTGGAGATAAGTGACCCAGCAACTGAGTAAGTTTAACTCTTAATGATTCACTGTCTTGCTTTCCTTGCCTCCATGTGGTGATTCTAATCTGATTGCTGTATGGAGAACGATAACATGACGAGGTTTTTAAAGACTGAAACTAGGAAGAAATGAAATTGTAGTTGGGTTCTGTGTGTGTGTTCTCATTGGTTATTGATTGTGAATATGTACTGTGCCTTATTGACAGTTCTGTCATATGGCGTATGTAAGTCATCTAAGGCAGGCAGTTTTGCACTGAAGGTCAGAAGGCATAACTTTAGAAACAAGTTGCAAGAAAATGGAGTTTTAGTACATTGAAAATAGCGACTGCACACAGGATCAAATAATAAAGAACAGTCCTTAGTACGTGTGAACCCTAACCACTTAGGCATTGCTGAAAGCAGTGCTTGTGCAGTGTCGGGGAGTTTTGAAATATTTGAAAAAAAATCCTGAGATTTAAATTTGCTTGTGACACATAAAGTTGACCAAGATTCTGATCACTTTGTTCTTTGAGCACTCCCCCAGGGAACTCTGACCTCCTGCTTCTCAGTGAAGTAGTTTGTTATGAAGTGATTTTGCTTGGATTCATGATGATCTGATAATCGCCATCTAGCTACTGTTTAATGTCTTGAAGCTGTATCATGCTTTCTTTAGCATATTCTTCTGGAGCAAGGCCTGTTTGTAATGTCCTGATAATAAGTATTTGCAACAATTAAAATTAATTTCATTTGTGTCTATTTCATTCAAAATCATATTTCCTTTGGAAAGTAAATTTCTTCTTAGAATGTTGGCAGGGAAAGATAACTGGTGGACTTTCTCCTTAGGCAGAAGTAGACTCTCCTTTTCAAGTGCCTGTTCTGTCATTTGTGCGCTTAGTCATTCTTTTTAAAGTTGATATGCATGTCAAGCATACAGAGTTTTACTGTGCATATTTGGAGATTTGGAATTATGTAGGTACCAGTGTATTTTTAAATCTAATTTTAAGTAGTTAAGTACTTCATTATTGTCTATGGCCACATTAAAAGTCTTTCCATTTTCTTCCCAGTAATTATATAGAAATGGCTTTTAATCAATTTGGTGTATACTGTTGTAATAGGTTATGGAAGGATGGTTTTGTTTCTTTTACAACTTGTACCATATTCTAAATTTGAGCTTGTAATCCATCTCATCTCTTGATGAATATAAAAACTATCACTTCTATGAAATGAAACAAAGTATAATTATTTAATATATTGAATGGCAAATATTTGTCATGTTTGAATAGCTTAAAGAAAAAAAGAACTTCTGCTCAATTCCTGACGTAAAAGACCTTAATTCTGTATCGTTTAACAAAACCTTCAGTAACTCATTGATTCTCAAGAACGTTAGCTGGGAAATTAAAAAACAGTGCTATTGTTCTAAATGTTAAATATTCTATACCACATCTTTGTTTTCATATAAAATATTTCTGGTGCAATTAAGATTGAATTTGTGTTTTTTAAAATGTTATAAAATAGTCTACATGCCTTTATTTCTCCCTTAAATCTACACTTTATGTGATGTGGAGCAGGGAGAAACTATATGGATTATTGTCTCAAAGTATGTGGCATACCAGTCACTGATGTATCAAAGTCATTGTTCTCTCCTGAGCCTCTGTTTCATACTGGGCTATTGACATCCTGCTTCCCAGTAAAGCCAGTGTCCCTTCTGCCCAGTGTCATATTTGTCTCTGCCACCACTTTAGGAAGGTCAGGTGAACATGCCTGGTCCCTCCTAGGTTACTTAACACCTTTAGGGTAGTTACTTGAGAAAGTCAGGCCACATTGCCTTGAGTAGCTCTCTGTCCTGTAGTGTTTCAGGGAACTTTTTCTCTCCTTTGGAGTCATGTTAACAATCTCAGTAATAAAGGTGATAAAATTGCTATAGTATGTTTACTATTGTTATCCCTCGTTAAACATGTTCCCTCTTCTGAACCAAGTAACCATAAAGCCAAGTAGTTGTTCTTATAAAGTCTTGGTAACGGAGGTCTCACAGAAGGTACTTGCCTGAACGATCAAAGAATTGTATCCAACGAAATGTCTTTATTAATGAGGGCAGAATTTTGATGGATTTGAAAATAGCTACATCATAAAGAATTCTGTCTTCTAAAATTAACTATTAGTGATAGAACTTTTCCATTGTGTCATCATTTGTAGAATGAAGCTGTCAGGCCACATGTTCACATGACCCACATATGCTTCCCTTTTCATATAAAATGGGTTCATGAAATGGTTTTGAAACTTTTGTAAGAAAATAAGACATAAATGAGCATCGATATAATTGCACGAAGCTTAGGTTATGGAACTTAGTTTGAAATTAAAATTTAGGAATACTTGCCGGGTGTTGGTGATGCATGCCTTTAATCCCAGCACTCGGGAGGCAGAGGCAGGCGGATCTCTGATTTGGAGGCCAGCCTGCTCTACAAAGCTACATAGAGAAACCCTGTCTCAAAAAATCCAAAATAAGTAGATGTATGTAACATCTCAAAACTAGTTTAAAAAAATCTTACCCAAGTATGTGAACAACTCTCAAGTATTAATGTCTTGACTTAATTTTAAGGGTGTTTGCATTCTTTAAAAGTTAGCATTTGAAAATACTTCCTATAAAAGGGAAATTTCCAGTGCAAAAATGTTAGGAGTTTATTGTGGTGAAATTGATATTTTCTCTAACGAGCCGTCTCTGTACAATGTTCCTCCAGGTTTGTTGGCATCCAAAGCTGTCGGGGTGGACGGTGCTGAAAACAAGGGAGACCACAGTGCGACAGCTCCAGTCCTGGAGCAGGTATGGAATGGTAGCGTTTGATTGTTCCCAGGCCACTGGAGTGCTCACGGAGCCGTAGTACCCACGCGATTGCAGGTGCCCCTCTGATCCCATGGGGGATAGAGCACTGTCTCATTGATGACTTATCTTTAACTCGGCCTTCTCCCGAGTATGCACATAAACTATGGACTTCATTAGCTTGGGTTTTCCATAGACTGATATTAAAGCCATCGTCTCCAAAATTAGAAGGCTTGGAGACAGGCATCCCAGGGTATGAGCTTCCAGCTGGACACCTTTAGCTTTCAAAAAGACCCTTACACAAATACTTTCCATTTGTGAGTTTAAACAGGGTTTTTTGACATCTAATTAAACTTCTTTTATAAGAAGTTTCTTTTATATTGTAACAGTTGGTGTTGTTAGAAGTGTTTTACGACTTGATCAATGAGCCATACATTTTTGCTAGGATGTATATTTTAATAACTACAATAAAAAGAGAATTTTAAAAACTTTTAAGGGTCTGTCTTAAACCACCTAATAGAGAAGTTTAAACTGAAGGTTGCGATGGCTAGAGTTGGCCGTGGCTACCTTTGAGTCCCCACACTGCCTGTACATAATGAGCTGCGCATGCTTCTTCATTCTCCAAGGGCTTAGCTGCTTAGGAACTGTCCGGATACAGTCATAGCCATAACTGGACTTCTTTGGTTCTCCTATTTTAAAATCTGAGCCTTAATGTAGTTTCAATATATCCTTTTTGTATTATCTCAATTTTCTTTATTAGTAGCCTAATAAAGAAGAATTTAAAATGAGTATCTTTTGCTCTTCTCTACATGTGTTTTAAAGAATAGCCCAAAATTAATTGATATTGTATTGAGTTTTTCAGTGTTTTCAGGCCTGATTTGAAAGCAGTACATTGTTTTGGTGCCTCTATTAATGTTGTATTAAATCAATGGTCTCTTATATTGATCAATATGTCAGTGACTCATACTTACTGGTTTTCTATCAGCATCAAACGGTTAAGTCTTTGCCGTTATTGTCAGTTATACCAACCAAATTTTAAATAACTTTTTTACTCTGTATGACTATATTCAAGGTCCCAGATATAACAATATTTTGTACTCCTACAGCTGTTAAGATATACTCAGAATGCGACATATCAGGGACTTGGGTAATAAAATATTTCTGGAAAATTCATTACAATGTCAATCTTTCATTGCACATAATCTGTGAGGTAAATGTGATTGTGAAAATTACTTAGTATATGTGGAAGTTAGTTTAGAGGTCAGTAACCAGTTCAGAGAGTCAGTTTTAGAAGGAAGCTAGAGCACCTTGGCTATTCGTCCTTGCATAATTCAAAACTTTTGAAAGTCCTTGCCAGTTTTGTAACAGAGACCAGTAATAATTAATGGAACCTTTGTAAACTGTCTAGAATTTAAGGAACATCATGCTGTCCCCTCTTTAACTTTGTCATTCAGGTTAATTTCAGTGTGAAAATGCTCTGTAACCAAACTCTTATTCCTATGCTATATGTTAGCCTTGCTTCTAAGCGAAAAAGCCAAGTTATAAAGCTCTTAACTGTCTCAGTTGTATCAGCAGGAGACCTAACTAAGAAGTTTTGATTGTTTCTAACTTGTGTTGTCCTGAGGAGTTACAATGGCAGTTTTGACAGATTGATAGCAGGCTCACAGCCACAATTGGCTGTGCTGATGGAGTTATAAATTCAAATGTGATCTTGAACCCTTTATCAGATTATTAGTTATAGATTACTTAATTGTATTAGGGAAGTGTCATGTTACATTTACTTTTGGGTAAAACTTACATTTGATGCATAATAATTCAGTAAGGTTTAAATATGTTAATTTGTCCTTGTTTAGAAGTTAAGCACCTTACCAAGTTATTAATTTAAATTTTAAAATCTTGTTTTATAACTTTGTAACTCAATAGTAATGGATGCTGTAGTGATGTCTCTCACATATGTGAAGATGAACAATAAAATTGTTTATTTACAAGTAATGGCTCTAATTACTTTCCTGGCAACACCTTTTATGATAAGTTTAGAAGTACTTCCCAGTCATGGAGTTCTTTTTCAAATGGTAGTCCCACTTGCACACATGTATAGTGAAGAAATTCAAGAGTAGAAAATGAAAGTTGAATGATTGGGACACTTGACACAGGGCCTTTTATGTCAGATGCCCACCATGCCATCTATAGAACATTCAGTGATGTCCCATTTAATATCAAATATATAGTTCTCCCACCAAAATCTAAGTATATTTTATTTCAATGAGAACAGAATTATTTATTTGGCCCCCAAACATGATCTTTCCTATTCTAGAAAACTGAAGATTACAGATTGGATGATTGTCCCCCCTCCCCAAATTGTGGAAGTTCAGTGATTTCTTGGGGACAGGCATGTTATTCATAGAACTAGTGACCTCACTCTTTATAGTGGCTTGCCATAATGTCTACCTTTAGAAGTTTGTATCTCATGTTTTACGGTCAGATATCAGCCAGGAAACCAGTGTAGGCATCCTAGTCTGACAAAATGTGGGTCCATTGTGGTTGTTTTCTGGTTGTCTTTAACGGTAGATGCATTACATTCACACCTATTTTCACATGTGCAGGGAATTTTACTCCCATGTGAATAAAATGGTCTTTATGAAAGAACTGACAAAAGTTCTAATTTTTTTAAAAGTGTCAGTTGGCAGGAATAAGGTAAAAACTCATCTAAGAATGCGACGTATTTTGTTTTTAAATCTAATGTTTTAACTTACACTTTATCTCTTTTATGTTGTTGTTGTTGTAGTTGTTGCTTGTTCTGTATTGTTTTTAGTCTTTTAACTCTACTGCTGGTGGCTCTGATTTCATGATGCATTTTGCTTATGAAACTAGCTTTCAGCACTAAAAGGAGTTAAAGATAATGTTTTGTTAATTTGGTCATTGTTTTCCTGTTGAGATCTTTCTTTAAAGGGAAATTGTCTACTAAGACAGCCACATATTTGATAACAGAGTACAAAAACTGTTCTAAAAGGCAGAAGTTTGGATATATTCCTTCAGCGCTCTAAAACCTGAAGTACTATTTTTTTTGGTTACCTCACTGTTATTAATACCATTGACAATTATAGTCTCAGAAGAGAGGAGTTCAAATTACTATTGTAAAGTTTGCCCATTGGGATATTTAATATTGGAAGAATTTCATGTACATTAAAAACATACACTCATAGTTGACAGTATCCCTTTAAAGACAGCATATTCAACTTTTAGTTAATAATTTGTAGGGTTCTTTTTGGTTTTTCATTTGTAACAGAAATGTTATATGTTGCTTAACAATGTTTTTTGGATACTAAAGTTGCATAACAATCAAAAATAGAGTACAAGAAGAAAAATGAAGAAACCAAAATAAAAATATCAATTTTTTATTATTTATTCAGGCGATTTCACCTAAACCTCAAAGTCAGAAAAAAAATGAAGCTGTCATTAGCAGTTCTGCCAACACTCAGAAACCTGCACTGTTATCCTCAACTTTGTCTTCAGGGAAGGCTCGCAGCAAGAAATGCAAACATGAATCGGGAGAGTCTTCTGGGTGTATAAAAACCCCTAAGTCACCACTTGCCCCAGAATTAATACAAGCCAAGGACTTGACGCTTGTATCTCAGCTTTCTTCCGTGATAAATAAAACTAGTGAGCACAGACTTTACAAAAAGTTTACTTATTCTGTAAGATAGATTCAAAGCAGTCTTGTTGTAGTTGTATTGTTCTTTTTGAAGGTGCTTTTTGAAAACTCAGAAGTTATGGATATGACAGAGAAAGCTTAAAACTAATGCAAGAGTAGAAACCATGGACATGTCTTACTGCTTTACTGTCCCAAGTCTGTACTGCTCCTTAGGCCCTGCCATCCAGTGACACAAACCCCACTGTAGTTTCACCCTCCTCAACTAATAATACAAGGCCTGATTCATTACAAAAAACAAACAAACAAAATACCTTCTGCAAACAAAAAGAACTCTAGGAAGACCCTGGGTGGATGGATGCTTTTACGTAAGTCCTCATTCCTGTGGCCAGGTAGTTCTCTGGTTGCATTTTTTTTATTCTTAAAAGATCAATTTTATTTACATATACATATATGCATATGTCATACTTTTTTCCTTTTTTATTTGAATTAGAAATAAGCTTGCTTTACCTACTCTTATGTTACCAAGGAAGGCAGCCTTGAATCCAGTCTCCTCCTTAGTAAGAGGAGACTGACTACTTGGTTATAGAGATGCGTCTGCTGGGTCCTAACCCTTCAATTGTTAGACACTTGGAAAAGTTTTTTTTTTCTTCTCAACATGGATTTGGGCAAATAAAGATAAGGTTTATGTTGACCCCAGGCCTACTATTTGAAACACTTACCTGGAACATCACTAGCCAGGTGACATTTTCCTTTTGTTCCTTTATTCAGCAGGAAGTAAGGATGGCATACTTCCTTATGAACCATTCTATATTGTGTCTCCCAGAATAATGATATTGGCATTTGGAAGGCTTTATCAAACATGCTAACCTCATCAATTTTTAATTTATTGTGTTAGAAAAGTAGGCAGAAACAAAGGGGATAGGCGATCTTTTCTCTGAAACTTCTTTATGAAAGAATAGCAGTAGTAGTCATTAGATTATCATGACACCAATAAGCTTTTTATCTTGAAGTTGTTTTATATATTAATACAACCATAGCATCATAAAAGCTACATTTGTTTTTTTATCTTAACCCATGGTCATCTAGTCTTTTTCCTTTATTATTCATCATTGATTGTCCTTAAATGCTCAAAGCATCTGCCCCTTTAAACTACTTCTTTCTAAATTAGCATATACTCTATATGGTCATACCTATTCTGTGTAATCATCAGGTTCCCTGTGCAGGGGAAAGGAGGAACGCTCAAGCACTGAGGAATCATCCTGCTGTGTGATAACGTTGATGGAAGACAAGTGATACAGTTAGTTGTTCAAACAAATAAGCATATTTAAGGGGAAGAATAGTGTCATACTAACTAAAATCTAATTTGACCATAATACGCACATTAGTTTGTTTGTGCTCAATTTTTTTAATGAATCAGGCCCCCGATTTATATTTGTGAAAGTCCATGTGGGAGCGTAAGGATGGGATAGTTTATTTACAGTAGCTTCTCTGGGGAAAGGAAAGCAAAGCCCCAACTGTATAGAGTTCATTGGAGCTGTCACCTACGCCCCTGCCTTCCTGTCCCTTTAGGGTGCCTCAGTTTGCTGTGTGGCAAGAGTCTCTCCCTGCTCCTGCTCTCCTAGCCCCCTCTGCCTGCCTCCCCCAGTTGATGCGAGAGTCCACTGTTGGAGAGTTAACTCTAATCTTACACCTGGGGAGAGCTACTGGAAATTAATTTTCCATGTAACTGTCTTTGAGTTCTAGCAGGCTTTAGATTTTAGAAGTTTTTTTTTTTGTGTGTGTGTGTGTGTGTGTGTGTGTGTGTGTGTGTGTGTGTATGAAGAGGGCACAGTTTTTGCCTTTGATTGCCTCTGGAATGTTCCATTTCTTGTGATTATCAAATAGCAGCATCAGAGGCAGAGTATGGCTCATTTTCCCCCGCTATCTCCTTAAAGATTATAAGATGATCCTGGTATGTATCTGCTTCGTGAACATTGAAGATCTTTTTCTAGGTCCTCCACAGCCTGTGAACCCCCCTAGACCTTGCAAGCATAGTGAGCGGAGAAGAAGATCCCAGCGGTTAGCCACCTTACCCATGCCTGACGATTCTCTAGAAAAACTTTGTTCTTCCTCTTCAGCCACTGATGGGAAAGTGCTCTCCATCAGTTCTCAGAGTCAGCCAGAGTCTTCAGGACCAGAGGGTAATGTATATTGATTTCCTATGGAACTAAATGCAAAGGAAGATAAATACCTGACAACAATTACTTGAACGTTAAGTTGTCTTCTTAGTGTCTGCTGCACTTAGAAGCCCCTCACGTATTCTACCAGGTGCCAGGCACTGTGTAAATGCCACTAATGTACATTGATGCAAACGGAGCCATTTTCTCTGTGCTAATACTACGGTTTTCTTTCCTTTACGTTTACATAGCTCCTGCTGTTGCACGCATGCCACTGCAGAAGCTGGGACCCTGTCTCCCTCTTGATTTAAGTTGTGGTTCAGAAGACACAGCACCTGGAGCCCCAGACTCTTCCTCCCTTGGTGGTGAATGTTCCAGGGAAGAAAAGGAGGAGACACAGTTGTTTGCAAATCCCTCCCCCAAAGTAGTGAGTGATGGAAAAGGAGCCACAGCAGCTGCTGGTAAGGAAGAGCTTCCTTAGTTAAGTCCCCACGAACATTTGATGTCTAACGTCACTTGAATTAATGCAAAATCCCTCTTCTAAGGACTTTTAGGTAGTATTCGGTTTTGGGTAGAGTGTCTCTATTTTAAAATTCTTCTGTGTGACCATTTTCACCGTTTCCTGGACATACTCCTTGTCATTTTCTTCTTCCTTTTTTCTTTTTTTCTCCCCTTTCCTTTGCTTTTTCAATGGGTGCAATATGTGGTGTTGCTACACCTATAGCTGGCAAATCCCATCTACCAAGCTGTGTCAAACTAGCAAGTTTTAGGCCATGTAAGGCTACATAGAAAAACCCTGTCTCAAAACAGCAACAAGAAATAAAATCATGTAAAATGCTTACTTTTACTCTTAGAAATTATTAGTTAAATACAATTGCAGAAATTCTTATCCATGAAGCAATGACTTAGGTTTGCAGATGTCAGTAAAATTGAATTAAGTCTAAAGAGAATCCAGATTGAACTTATTTAGTTACCTGTGATATAAGTGTACGTCCATATTTGGAGACAGATTATCCTTTTCAAATATAGTTTATTATAAAGTTTCTTGGGGACTCTAGCCTATAAAAACAACCATGTTTAATTCATTTTTAGGTGATATTATTGTTTATGATCTGAAAACATTGGTGGTAATTTTTTATTAAGTTGATATCTTAAATCTGACATAGTTCATATTTCTTATATATATTTGCAACATTTTATTTATAAATTTTTTTAATTTTACAGTTTCATAAAAGTAATATATGTGTGTATATATATATATACATATATATAAAATCAGCCATCAAATAGTACTTTTTCAATTGTCTTCTTCTGAGTATTAATTTGGAACTAGCTAGTGAGAGATTAGAGTCAGATCATATATAAAGTAGTCAAATGTGTTGGCAACAATTGTGTTTAGCAATGTCTTCCCCAAAGAATGTAGCATCAGCTTCTTGGATGAAGCCAGAATATAGCTTGCTGTGTTCTGTCCATGCTACATACTGAAATAATGACATCAATAGCTTAGTTTAATCTGTCACCTTTTAACTTGTTCTTTCTTTCAAAGTAGTAGTGTTAGTACTCTCAAGTAACACTTACAATTCCATTCCATTTTACCTGTAAAGATTTGAATTGGTTTACACATGATATTTCCTTATTCAAAATTTTAAAAAATGCCCACTTCTGAAAATCTGTAGACTTTGAGAGATTGCTTTTGATTGCTCAGATCTGATCTGCTGTCTTTGTATATCCATCTAAACCTGATCTTAGAGTAATTCAGTTTGCTTTCTCCTTTTTGCACAAGATTCCTGAATTACCATTGAACTTTCAAGCAAGTTTTCCTGGTAAAGGTCTCATGTATTCGATATATGAGAACGATCTTGATGTCGTAATAATATGTGCCTACTGGGAAATGACTTTTGGATGTGTATGTGAAGATAAGTGTATGCTCCTTACAATACATACTTGAATTGGATGTAATAACCCTGAAATACAAGTCAGTATGAGTGCATGTCATAAATAGTGTCATGTAGGGCTGGAGTGATGGCTTGACAGTTAGGAGCACTAGCTGCTCTTCCTGAGAGCCCTGGGCTTGATCCCCAGCAACCACATGGCAGTTCTCAACCATCTGTAACCTCTTCTGGCCTCTTAAGGGTGTAGTACACTTGTGATGCATAGACATGCAGTGAGAACACACACATACACAGTGGCACGCACACACACACACTCGTACACACACACTCGCCCGCACATACACATCTTTTTTTAAAAATGTCATGTCAGCCATAGTATATGTTCAAACCATCAAAGCAGTGTTTGTACATCAGAATGGATGATTTTGCTTTTAACTAGGAGATTAACTTGGTCCTCTTTCGTTTGTTTTGGCTGGCTGTTGGTTTTCCTTTTGAATTTCTGACAGATTTGTAGCTACATGGCCGACTACTTTGAGAGGTGCTTCTTGCTTTTGTTCATAATGTTGGATTAGGGAAGGCACAGCCTCTGTCGTCTTTTTTTAACGTTAGCAGTAGCATCTGGAGAGTCTGGTGCGATGTAGGTGAGTTGGGAAAGGACTCTCCCTTTACATGAGTGTAGAGAGAATCAGATTTCCACAGCATGCAACAGAGAGCAGTAGACGGGTAGTAATAGAGCCCTGTGCGCAGCAAAGGCCTGGGAGGTTGGGAAAGTGGGAGGGGCTGTGTACTTTAGAAGGGTGTTCATTGCATTAGCATGATGCTTGCCTTTTTTTGGAGGTGATACCTGCCATATAAATGGGGATGGTCCAGATTGGTCAGTGTTCAGTCCTGGGCAGTTAGAAGCCACGTGCATGTAATTGATTTCACTTCGTGCAATTTTGGTGGTGTCATGAGGGCAGCTCTATGATAGCTGGCTGTGGCTAGTTTTAGTTGACTGTTTTGGTGATAGGAGCTCTAGTTTTTTGGTTTGGGGAATACTTCCAGGGCTAGATTTGCACTGGAGACTGAGTCCATCTTTGTCTCTCATTCATGGCCTTCTGTCAATGGAAATTGAAAATAGCAAGACAATGTCGGAAGAAAGTGAAAAGTTTGGCTTTTCATGCACTGCACTTGTATATCTGTCTGTGGAACTGGAATGATGTTATTGGTGTGCATGTGGCGAGCACAGTGCTCTGCAGATTTTGTTTGCTTTTGTTTTTAAGGAGAAAAGTTCCTTTGGCTTGTAGTTCTAGGGGTACAAGAGGAGAAGTCAGAATGCAGAAGCATGAGACAGCTCGTCATACCACATTCACAGTCAGGAAACAGATAGATGAACACAGGTGCTCAGCTTACCTTCTCCTCCTTACTCAACAAGACCCAGCCCATGACATGGTGTTAGCCACATTTAGGCTGGGTCTCCCTCCCTCAGGGTAACACAAGAAATGAAAGACCCAGAGACTGGTACTGGGGCTCAAGCTTCAAGCTGAAGATCAGAAAAGCAAAGTGGACCAAAGCGGCTGCAGACTTCACTGCTCCTGAGATTCATTCAGACTCCTGTGCTTTTCTCAACATGGCTAGAGACTAATTCTCAGACTGAATGCCTCTACCTTTTATCTCTCTCACATCCTAGGATTAAAGTTGTGCACCACCACTGCCTGACTTCTATGACTAACTAGTATGGCTGCTTTGCTATTTTGATCTCCAGTGCCTTTAATAAATCATAAACAGTATATCATTACAAGTTAGTGAAGTCTAGATAACTGCATAAAACAAGCAAAGGCATGGTTTTAAGTTAGCTTAAAGTTTGTATGTATGTGATCATGTATAGTGCACACACAGTGTTTGAATGGACAAGGTAAGATTTCATTCATTTCTATGACTGTTTAATTTTTCTTTTTGAGGAAAGTATTACAATTTATGCTGTATTTTTTTTTAAAATTGTGCCCCCCCCCTTTTTTAACTTTCATTGAACTTCTCTGTGGCCTGCATGCTTTTATCTTAGTATTATTCTATTGTGGTGGTAGTTTTGTTTTGTTTCTTTGAAACAGGATCTCACTATGTCCATAGTCCTGGTAGTCTGGAACATGGTATGTACCGTACCCTAAGCTGATTTGGAAGTCTCCGTTTTCTTGCCTTAGCTTCCAGAGTGCTTAGATTGTAGGCATGGACCATCGTATCTGGCTTTCTTACTGTGTTCTTACCTGACTGTTGCACACTGTCGTGAAGTTATTCTGGACTTCTCTTTTCTCCCTCCTCATGTTGATGTGCATCCAAGTCAAAGGGTTAACATATATAGCATGTGTTACCACCAAGAAAGCCAGAGGTGGGTCTGAGGCCACTCTAAATGGGCATGGCAGTGGGTTTACATGCTCTGCCTGTGGTCATCGTTCAAATGTCATTCATTTCTGTCCCAATAGTTGATGGTGGCTCTGCATTTACTGTTTAACAGCTGCTTAGAGTTAGTTCTGAATTTATGTTCCAGAGCTGTTCAAAACAAAGCTGTAACTGTTTTCTGTTATCTGCTTCACCCCCCGATGCCCCCCCACACACACACCATGTTCCTGGCCTTCCACAGTCCCTGGGATTGCATCCTGTTACACTCTGGAGGTTGGAAACTTACTCCATGCTCCTTACTCTGTAGTTTGTGTATAGAAGAGTGACCCAGCTTCTGCTTTTCTTACTGGAGTCAGGAAAGTTCTTTGCCTTTGTTCTTGTACTACAGTGGCTCTAAGAATTTATTGGAAGTGTCCTCTTGAGAAAATTTAAACATCATTGTCCTTTATACTAATATCCTAATACTTAGGTTTGCAAATTGTAGCACATGGTGTAATAATAGTAATCATAGCTTATAAAACCAATTGTATTCTATTGTTGAATTCTAGAAAAGGTGTGTTTTGTTTTTCTATTTGTATGTACTTCTAAAGTTTTGCCAGTGTTGCAGATGTATGTGTTTGTTGCTGTGGAGTCTTAGGCAGAAGGCCAGCGTACTCTGGAGTTTGCTTCCTAGATCACGCAGAGTGGCTGTGTCTTCTGCTCTGCCATCCCCTGGTCTGCAGTGCTGGCCTGCTGCTGTTAGTATCCATGCTCTGCCTATCCCAACTCCCTGAATGCAGACAATTTGATGGACCTTTTCACATCTCTCTTTCCCCCCAAGCAGCCTGTGTGTCTTTCACCTGGAGATCCAGCCGTCCAGATTAGGAGCCCAGGAGACAGACCATTGTTCCAGATTAGGAGCCCAGGAGACAGACCATTGTTCCAGATTAGGAGCCCAGGAGACAGACCATTGTTCCAGATTAGGAGCCCAGGAGACAGACCATTGTTCCAGATTAGGAGCCCAGGAGACAGACCATTGTTCCAGATTAGGAGCCCAGGAGACAGACCATTGTTCCAGATTAGGAGCCCAGGAGACAGACCATTGTTTCAGATTAGGAGCCCAGGAGACAGACCATTGTTCCAGATTAGGAGCCCAGGAGACAGACCATTGTTTCAGATTAGGAGCCCAGGAGGCAGACTATTGTTTCAGATTAGGAGCCCAGGAGACAGACCATTGTTTCAGATTAGGAGCCCAGGAGGCAGACTATTGTTTCAGATTAGGAGCCCAGGAGACAGACCATTGTTAGCACCCCTTCTGCATGCTGTGCTGTCATTAAGGCCTGAGCAGTATTTTCCCCTTTGCTTGATTTGTAAATGCTCTCTTAGTTTTAAGACAATTACATTACATTTGCAGTTTCCATGGTCCAGTAGTCAGCTGAAGGCAGTAACTAATGTGTTGCCACCTCTTGATAAATGGGGTAATGTTACTGTGCTTATTTATGCTGTGAGGACTCTTTTATTCTTTCAGTCACAATCAGTGTGATTACCAATATTGTTATTAATCTTAAACTTCCTAGAGCCTTGTTGCTACTTGAATCCAGTGACATTTTTATAGGTTTATGTTTAAACTATGTAAAATGTTTTGTTAAAATATAAAATGCTGGGGCTGGATGGCTCAGCGGTTAAGAGCACTGACTGTTCTTCCAAAGGTCCTGAGTTCAATTCCCAGCAACCACATGGTTGCTCACAACCACATTGAATGAGCTCTGATGCCCTCTGCTGGCATGCAGGCAGAAGATTGTATACATAATAAATAAATTAAAAATATATAAAATGCTTTACATGGTTAGTATAAATTGATTTTTAAAAATCAAGAAGAAATCTAACAAATGGAATGCAATAAAATGTATTTTATATACTCCAGTATTTTTCTTAGATTAACCCAAGGCACAAACAGAACATTGAGAAATGTTGAACCAAGCTGTGAAGCTTCATTGAGGGAATCTGTTTTAGTTACAGTTAGTGAGGTACAATGATTTCAGTTCCAATTCAGACTGCTAAGTAATACATGTATTGACATGGTTATTTTTATGTGTGTGTGTATCTTTGCATTTCACATTTATGCAGTTTAAAAATGATTAGCAAAATAGTTCTGGCTGCTGTTGTTTTAGCCTGGCAATAAGGAGCTCACGTGATGACACACAGCTGATGGGATTCACATTCATAACTTGACTTTGTGGATCGAGAGGTCAAATACCAGCTCCTATGTCATTGAAATAGCAGTTACACATCAGTGAAAGCAGTATACTGCGCTGTGAATTTGAACATCTCATTTGGATGTTCTGAATAGCATCTGTGTCTAGGTTTCACAGAAGCAGCAATGGTATATGAACCAGCTATTCAAAAGGCTGTCAGTACGTCTGGGTTGCCTTCAAAGATGGCCAAGGGCCTTTTCAAAACTTATTTCTATGGTTAGAGCCCTATTTAAGCTATTTCTGAAATACTGTAGCCTCAAATTACCTGAAAGAAAAAGCAACACCACTTAATTACCAAGACTGGCCTAAGCATTTTACATACTCTGTTTCACACAGTCTGGTAAGATCCTTGGTAGGTACTCCTGTTCGTATTGACAGTAAGGTTAACGGAAGTGGGGAGCATTAAACCACATTCTCAAGTCATACAAGCAATGAGCTGTAGAGGCCAAGACTCAGCCCAGATGCCAGGAAGGAACACAAATACTAGTTTTGGTTACTAGTTCAGGTAATGAACTTGTGCAGACCTTCTGGAGGTAGGGGAGGATTCCTGTTTAGAGTTTTGCAAGCAGTAGTGATTTTTTAAAATAGTTCCATATTTTTATCTTTCTGATTAACCTATATCTTGTCCCCCTAACCCACAGGAATATCGAAAACAGAAAAAAAGGTGAAATTGGAAGACAAAAGCTCCACTGCATTTGGTATGGACAGAAAGTAATCTTTAAGCAAAAGACTATAAAGCTTGACAGAGAGGACAGCATCTCTCTCTGCCCCTCCCTGCTAGGGCTCCTTATGGTGCCGAGACCGTCTGCTTCTGTGCTTAGTCTAGTCAGCCTCCGAGGCACCCGCTTTCCTGGGTACAGCTGTACTTA